GCCCAATGGCTCTCCTCGGCATCGAGACTTTCGATCTGCTCCTGCGAGCGATGAGCCTTCACGCGACGAACTGAGAAGAACTGGTGGCCCTCGAGGCCACGACCGAATTTTAGGATGCCTGTCAGCCTGGTTGGACGCACGCAGCTCACTGGACACAGGCTGCTGGAAACGGCGGACCGCCGCAATGCAGACACTGCCAGCCAAGGTCTCGCGGCGATCTGACCAACCAAGCAGAGTGTAACGCTCTCGGCGATGCTAGGGAGTCTGAGGGAGATATCCAGCCACAGGCCCGCGCATGATCGCGACGGGCACATATGATGCAGGGGGAAAACAGCAATTGACCAGGATGCCCGCTCCAGCTCAACTAACCTTGGTCGCGCGCACGATCCATCAGGAACGACATCATGTCACGGCCCCTGGACGAGCGATGCCACGCCATCTACCTCCACATCTAGTGCCTCCCCTTGTGGGTCTTCGGAGACCACCTGGTCTGTGCAGGGAGGGGGCGGCACATCCTCTTCATCGTGCGCGCTCCTTGCACAAATACTGGATCATCTGACTCAAGGCTAGCCTGCAAAAGCAGCGCACTGACCTTGGACTCGGCACGAGCGGCAACTACCTCAGACAGAGCGCACTCGCACAGGCCATGCTTGAGAGTCTGTCTCTGGCCACACGCACAGAGACCGTCGCAGAGGTAGCCAGCAGCTCGGGCACCAGCCGTGGCCCGGACTCCGCGGCAAGAGCAGCTCCCGATCAAGAACTTTGCGAGACCGAGCCCCGAGGACGGATCGAACGAAGTCGAGCGGGCCCTGGATCCTCCTGGAGCTCCCAGCTGCGTGGCTGAGGAAAGCTCGCGTTGCCTCTGAATCCCTGCTGACATGAGGACACACACCATGCTATGGGGCGTGCGACTGACATCTATGGTGGAACCCCTGTGGTCCATCCATCTAGTCGCAGAGAGCACGCTCCACCCAGCACGGCGCGCAGCAAGGACAGGGCGAGAAAGCGGCTCGCGACTGGAAGGCCAGTCCTCGGCCTCACAGGTCTTGGCGTCACGCCGAAGCCGAAGCAGACGCGCACGAGTGGCCAGCGGGTGGTCGCATACCTCAGCCTGCCACAGCATCCTGCACCACTGGAACGCAGGCGCGATGCCTGACGCTCCTGCCCCATCGCCAAGCAGCACCGTTTTGCTGGCGAGGCTCACACCACCATGCACAAGAACCTGGCCTCGCGCCACGACCCGACGGCTCTGGAGCCACTCCGCTCTGCTGAGGCCGACGACCTCGCTCCCGTAGGTGGCCTCGGCCATGGCACCAGCACGGATGACTGCACCGATGGACTCGGCCTTGTGGCCAGTGATGACCTTGCCGAAACGCTTGAGCTTCCGCATGCGCTTCACCCTGTGCTGACGACGCTTTGCCCGTTCGTTGAGCACGCCCTTCTCCTTGCGGCGGCTGCCCTCACTGACGTCGACCCCGACGTAGACAGCGCTGCGTCGGGCAGCTGAAGCTTGGAGCCCGAGCGTGCTCACGATATTCTGCGCGAGAGAGAGGCTGGTACCCACAATCACGAGCTTTTCGTTGACAACCGAATCAAGCTCATCCACAGTACGCCTGAAGTCAACCATGGCCGCCACCATCATGGAGGAGGTGGCGCTAGCAGTAGTGGGTGCCACACGGATGGAATTGTCATCTATGTAGCTGACGAGCTGTATGTACGGCTGCCTGACCAGAAAACTATCGTACCCACGAACAGACCAAACTTTGACCGCAACGTCGCAGAAGACGTCACCAGCAGGGAGACCACAAGCTGCACAAAGCGGCTCGTCCTCATGGTGCGCGTTGAGACGCAAGACACGTGGTGCACGCCACATATTGTACACTAACTTGAGGAAAGACGTCGGCGTCTGGAAACTGACAACTTATCCCGTAGACTGTCAAAAGGAATCCGTTCGTAACACTGGCTGAAATCAGCTAAGCCTGCCGTTGACCTGCCTCACAAGGAGGATGAGGAGGAGAAGGAGGAGGAGGAGGAGGGGGAGGAGGAGGAGGAGGGGGAGGGGAGGGGGAGGAGGAGGAGGAGGAGGAGGAGGAGGAGGAGGAGGAGGAGGAGGAGGAGGAGGAGGGAGGAGGAGAATAAGGAGGAGGAGGAGGAGAAGGAGGAGGAGGAGGAGAGAGGAGGAGGAGGAGAAGGAGGAGGAGGAGGAGAAGGAGGAGGAGGAGGATCGAGGACGAGGAGGCTGGAGGAGAATCGAGGGAGGATCCAGGGCCGAGGGGGATCGAGGAGGATCGAAGAGGAGAAGAAGAGGGGGATCGAGAGGAGGACCGAGGAGGATCGAGGCCGGAGGAGAAGAGGGCCGAGGAGGGCCGAGGAGGATCGAGGGCCGAGGGATGCATGGGTCGAGCATCGAGGGTCGAGGAGGGAGGAGGAGGAAGGCCTCCCCCGGGGACGGAGGCTTCTTCCTCTCCGCTGCTGGTGGGGGGGAGGGGCCCCGCCGTCGCGGCCCCAGCAGCCGCACAAGGCGGGAGCTGGAGGAGGGGAGGGGGAGGACAGAGAAGGGGAGAGGAATGGGGGAGGGAAGAGCACGGAGGGGGAAGCCGAAAGAAGGAGAGGGGAAGCAGAAACGGGGAGCCAAGAGCGCGGTGGCCGAGGGGGAGGGAGGGGGAGGACAGAGAAGGGATGAGGAATGCGGGAGGGAAGAGCACGGAGGGGGAAGCCGCAGGGAGGAAAAGGGACGAGGACGCTTCGGTGGCAACTCGTGGGAGCCTCCCGCACCGTCTTGCCGGCTCTTGCGAATCGACGCCGCTGGACACCGAATCGACGCTGACCGACGCTGAGTCGGCGCTGTCCCATCGACTCCAGACGCTTATCGGCGCTGAAGACGAACTTGAGAGGGTACAACAGCGAGCGGAGGCCGGTCGAGGCTCCATTGCCTCCTCCTCCTCCTCCTCCTCCTCCTCCTCCTCCTCCCCCTCCTCCTCCCCCTCCTCCTCCTCCATGCTCTGCCACCGAAGGAAGCTGGGAGGGAAGGGCGCCGCGGCCGAGAGGCCACCCGAGCCAGGGTGGCCCAGGCGCCGACCCGAGACGCCCGCGCGCGGAGCGCGGATCTGCCTTCCCCAGTGTCTGCGCCGGCGGCGGCCTCGCTCGCGCCTTGCACACACGGGGGGTCAGAGGAGGAGGAGGAGGAGGAGGAGGGGGAGGAGGAGGAGGAGGGAGGAGGGGAGGAGGAGGGAGGAGGAGAACGAGAAGGAGGAGGAGGGAAGGGAGGAGGGAGGAGGAGGAGGAGGGAGGAGGAGGAGGAGGAGGAGGAGGAGGAGGAGGAGGAGGGAGGAGGAGGAGGAGGAGGAGGAGGGAGGAGGAGGAGGAGGAGGAGGAGGAGGAGGAGGGAGGAGGAGGAGGAGGAGGAGGAGGGAGGAGGAGGAGGAGGAGGAGGAGGAGGAGGAGGAGGAGGAGGAGGAGGAGGGAGGAGGAGGAGGAGGAGGAGGAGAAGGAGGAAGAAACAGGAGGAGGAAAAGGATATTCGGTGGGCAGAAGGGGGAGGCCTCAGGGAAAAACAAGGCGGGAACGCAAGACATCTTGCTTTGGCGAACTGTTCCCTTCGACTGCGGAACACGTCAGGCTGCCCATTGGTGAGCTGCTTCCCGCGGCTGCGGTCAAGAGCGCTTTTCGCGCTGGCGACTTGCCCCCCCCTTCCATATCCGATAGAGAGGCAGGAGAGCCTCGGATCGAATCGATTAGTCGGATAATTGAATCGGATCGGCGGGAATCGGCGGCCGAGCTGGGAGAACTCGAACCGGCGGAGATCGGCAGGCCAGCAGGCCTTCACTGACAAAGCAGAGTCCGAATCGGAATCCGAGGTCGACACAAGGCCGACTCGGAAACCATCAGACTTGAAGGGGCCCTGGGACACACAAATAAATACAGACTAATAAGAAGATTCCCCGCAGTTTCCCATATTTTCCAGGTTTCTGTCTTCCCCCCCACTGCCCATATTTTCCCATGTTTTCTGGGGGATCGACGATTCATTGTGTTTGTATGTTTTTTTCTCCTCCTGAAAACTCCAGAGCCGAAGCGAGGCGGAGGGCTCGGCACGAGCCGCGAGAGGGCGCATCTCGTAATCTCTGCCCCGCAGGCGAAAAACACGGCTCGCGGCCACTCCACCAAAATCGTGACTGGCGGCACGTGCGCAGCCCAGCGGGAGGGCCAGGGACGTGATGAAATAAGAAGAGGCGCCATGAAATCTGGGGAAATATCATGGCCCACGCCATGATATCCACCCCCCCTAGTCATCACCCCCCTCTTTTCCGCCCCCGATCAGAAAGACCCAGCAGTAGCAGGCAAAGACCTCCAGGGACAATGGTTTGAATATTCCTGGCTATTCCTCCTGAGTGACGTGCCCTCGGGGACCCTCTGACCGGGGTCTATCCAGACTGGGGTCACTCAGGCCTTGCAGAGCCCTGCAAGATCCTGCAAGATCCTGCACCCCACCTTGGGCCGATGCGAAAAGTTCCTGCAAAACACTGCAGGATCATGCACCCAAGCCCAGGTCAAATGCGACCCTGGCCCATCAGGATCCTGCAAGATCGGGCGCTCTGGCTGACCCCCGATTGCATCCCCTCCCTGGCGCCCCGCGCGCCAAGGAGGGGGGTCTAGCGCCGATCCGAGAAATCCGGGCGGACCTCCGAGATTGTATGTTTATGTCATTGTTCGTTCCCCCAGAGGGAGGAGGAGGAGGAGGAGGAGGAGGAGGAGGAGGAGGAGGAGAAGGAGGAGGAGAAGGAGGAGGAGGAGGAGATACGATATTCGAGATACCGAGGGACGCAGTGCCCCGCCTTCGCGACAGCACGGGGCCCCCGCAGGCGTCCAGGGTCCCCAAGGGCCCCCAGGGCCACGCAGGGTCTCAGAGCTGGGCCACCTTCGGGATGGCCTCGGATCGCGCGCCAGCCTCAAGTGGTCCTCGATGCAGCACGCGTACTTGAGACCCACTGCAGCACGTTCACCTCCATCTCGATGGGTTGCCCACCGCACGCGGGCCGAAGTGCTCGTATAGAGGGTCGTCAGCGCTCTCCCCGCTCTCGCTCTCGTCGCTGTCCTCCTGCTCGAAGGACTGGAGCTGGCGGGCACCATCCCGCAGAGCAGCAGTAGCGCGTCGGTCGCGACGATGCCCGCCATGCTTGAGGATCGCGGTGTCCAGCAGCGGTGGATGCAAGGTGCGCGGGGGCAGCCAGCTAGGCGGGCGCCGCTCGGCCTCGACGTTCTGATCGTCAAGGCACTGCAGGAACCAGCACAGCGCCGCGTGGCGCATCCCGCGGGGCTGCTGGTATGTCCTGCGCGAGCCGTCTGGCAAGGTCGTCGAAACGGCACGGCCACGGATGACCTCGACCATTTCTTGCCAGCACGTCTCATTGGCGTCGGTGACCACATCTTTGAAATCCTGCTTGAACTCCGTGTGGTCGCCGATCTTGGCCGCCAGCACCGCGTCAGCCTGGCGATCTTGCCGCTCCAGCAGTGGCCACGTGGCCGCAGTCCCCTCTGACCCCAGGGCAGGGCGGGAGGACACCGCCGCGGCGCGCGCCAGGCGCGCGGCCTCGGCCACAGTGCCAGCCAGCCTGGCCGCAGCGCGCTTGAGGTGGGCGTCCTCGTCGGCGAACTCCTGAGACCCCGTGTGGTCGTCGCCGACGTGCCAAGGGCCCATCCTGCCGTCTACCGAGGACTGCGTCTCGGCACTGCCGGGACCCCGCCGTCTACCGAGGACTGCGTCTCGGCACGGCGAGGGACTCGTAGGGCCCATCCTGCCGTCTACCGAGGACTGCGTCTCGGCACTGCAAGGACCCCGTCGTATACCGAGGCCAGTGTCTCGGCACGGCGGGGAATTTTGTGCGGTGCCTCCAGGCTCCTGATGAGCAGCACCCGGAATACCAGTGGCGAGATGAACAGCTCCGCGAAACCCTTCAACATGAGGCTGACCTTGAAGATCAGCGCCAGAAGCCTCACCAGCGCAGTAACCCCCGCTAAGGACTGCCGCGGGGTGGGCTGTCAGATAGACGGCGACCGCAGCACTGCACGCGGCTGCCGGCGGCGGTGGCTCGGCCGCGCAGGCCGTGGCATCGCCGTCCTCCTCGATGGTCACGTCGAGCTCCACGTCGTCGCAGGACTCCTCATGGAATCCCGTCTCGTACTCGGTCGCCTGGCCCTCTTGGACGAAGGGCGCGACCGTATCCACCTGGATTGGCACCTGGTCCTCGCAGTAGTCGGGCGCGATTGCGCCGAGGAGGCCGAGGGGGACGAATACAGGCGCCTCCGCCCGCAGCACACTCCCGTGTGGCAGCACAGCCGTATCCACCTTGACTGTGCTCGCCACAACATCAGCTACGCAAACCTCGACCACGCAATCCACTGCAGCCGAAGGCGTCGCTGCAAGAAGCGGCTGGTGCCTCGCTTTGTCGCCGTCACTCTTGATCTCCATGCTTTTGTGCACGAAGTTTGTGTCCACGTCGAGCGTCTTGGCCACCGCGCGCAGTGCATCGCCCAATCGATGCATGTGGCGGCCAAGGGCGACGTCAGCCCTGCGGTGCAGCAGCAGCGCCCTGCCGAGGCTGACGAGGCGATCCTCAAGGGCGGCCGCCAGGTCCGTGGGGGGAGCCAGCACCGCCACCGCAGCAGCGGCAGCAGCCGTCGCCGTGGCCCCGTCCCGCTCCAGGGCTCGCTCCCTGCGCAGCCTGCGCGCAAGCGTGGCCGCCGAGCGTCGGGCCCAGGCCTGCCCGCGACGTGGCCCTGCTCCAGACATCGCCCCACAGGGCGCCGCCCGACGGCCTCCCGCAACCATCATGCCCGAACCGCGCGCCAGGGGGGATTCGAGCCAGGCTTGAGCCAAAATGGCTACGGAGGGGGAGGAGGAGGAGGAGGAGGAGGAGGAGGAGGAGGA